TAGTATTCTAACACATTTCTTCTGAGTGATAAATATTGGTTCAAGCCTGTTGTTACTAAGGCCACCCCATACTGATATCCCAAATCGCAAGTGTGATTCAAATAGTGTGTAGTACAGTTCTTTGTAGAGTTTTTCTGGAATAATGTGCCGTATTCTACAAATTTTCCCACTTTCACATTTCAGCTTTGTGTTGAGCGACCGTATATGAGCATCCCATTTAAGCTGATCATCAATAATAACACCAAGAAACTTCACCTTTTTGACTTGCTTTATTACTACATTGTTTAGAGTAAGTACGTGTTCTTCTTCATTATGTTCTACCTTGCTTTTTCTATTCGTTGGTTTAAAGGGAATGTAACAGCATTTCTTAATGTTAATATGCAGGAGATTACATTTCATATACAGTTGTACCAGTTTGAGAATTTGGTTTGCTCGTTCATATAACTTTATCTTACATTCATCCGCGACAAATATATTTGTATCGTCAGCAAATAGAATGAACTTGCCTAGTTCAGTTGCCCTATATAGGTCGTTGATATAAATAATAAATAGTAACGGACCAAGACAAGATCCCTGGGGTACTCCAAAGAGAACTGGAAGCTTGTCAGACTCTTCTCCTAGGACCGAGACGTATTGATATCTATTAGAGAGATAACTAGCAATGAGTTTGTTGGCATTGCCTCGAATTCCGTAATTATCTAGCTTACTCAGTAATTTGTCAGCTGAGATGGTATCGAATGCTTTGCTTAGATCAATGAATATTCCGAGCACGTGCTGCTTTTTATTAAGGCACACCTCTTAGAGATTTTACCGGCATATCCTCTAAAAATCACCTAATTTGTCCAATTTTACATATCTACTTTAAGAGGGGAGGGGGCCAGTGGCGTAACGTTGCCTGTTGGTGCCCCCCCCCCCCCCCCCTCCCCCTGTTGGCCCCCTCCCCTTTTAGCGCCCCTTCCTAAAATTGAACAAATTATGTGATCTTAGAGGATACGCCGGTAAAATCTCTAAAAAAGGGTGTTTCTAGAGCAAAACTTTGAGTGCACTAAATTACATAGCGACATAACTGTCTAAGTTCTTAATGAATTTGAATTATTACACATTCAGAGTGATGACGATTGTTGTTGTGATTCCAGAATGAGCTTCTTCATATCAAGCTACGACAATGGTAGGCATAATTTTCATGATAGCAATGCAAAGCCTAGAGGACAGTGGTTAGAGCTTCTGCCTTCTGCACAAAAAGTTTAGGGTTCGAATCCCAATGTCACCTAGTCTAGGGAGTAGCTAAGGATCAATTGTGAATTGGATCTATACGAAATTACAAATCTGTGTGATATCTCCTCGGTCTAATGATAAAAAAGTTGATTGAGGGTTAAATGAGGAGGACCCTAAGAAAAGATCAGTAATCTTTTATGATAACTCTTTAGTACGTTTATATTGTAGTGTACTGTTAACTAAATATGAATAATACTTAGTAAAACGTACGATTATACTTAAAAATCTATGGTTTACAGCTATAGTCTCATGGAGGACACACAACGCAATTTTACATTGTCATACATTGTATGACCCGCGCCGCGCACGAGTGCGCGGCTCCCCTGTATCGTAAGAACCTAGTGAAACGACCATGGGTGTCACGCGTGGCGTGATACACATTTTTACAGGCTTACATTGGCATGTTGAAGATGCTACAAAGATACCAGTACGTCTTTAGCAACTTTAAGAGGCTTTGTTTCACAAATATTCACAAATCGATATGATCTGAAGTTTCACTTGTAAGTGATTAGAAAAATTAATTTTCCTTTACAAAAATTAAATAAAAAGCTTTTTATATATTTTGGGTTGCACCGCGCATCAAATAATATTTTGGAGGACGTCGCCGCTTCAACGCGCCGCGCGAGTTATAATCTTTTTTGTTGCCTGGAGGGGATATTTAAAACATATAATTGATACGAATGATTTTATTAGCATGTAGCAGGAGCTTTTAAAATACTTGTGTAAATCGTCTTCAGCTAGGGATGATGTTGTGAAGGGTGATTAAATTATATATGATGTATAGTAGTGGTGTCAATGATGAGTGGTGTGTGACGTGAAAGGGTGCAGAGTGGTGAGGTCGTGGAAAAAGTGTTCAGATTACATTACAATAACATTAAAAACTAGGCTTGTGAGATAGATGAAAAGGAAATGCCAAATGGCTTAATATAATAATTGACGATGTCAATTCATTTGTCATCGCAGCTCGGCGCGGCACAGTAGCGCATCTCGCCGATCTAGCTGTACGTGAGAAGCCTCATTGAGTGCGCGGCGCGGCACAGTAACACATCGCGCTACAACCAGATGGCCTGGTTTTGAGGGATGAAGCAATCTTGGGAAGGATCGGATGGGGTCCCATAGTGAGCTACATTTAGGGGCACGATCAGTACGGTTCATGGAGGGTTGTTTTATCTGGACACTGGATAGCCTAGCATGTTCTGTTAGGTCAAGTTGAGATCGTGTGGTGAGTGATTTAAGGACTTCTATGTTGTTCCAGGAGATGGAATGTCCAGTAGTTAGGGCATGATGGGCGGGGGCGGATTTGATCCTGTCTCTGGTTTCGTCGAAGGCATTGTTGAGTCTGTAGCATCGTACGTGTTCTTTCATTCGTTGGATGAGGGGTCTGTAGGTCTGTCCCTCTGTTGTAGTGCATTGTAGCGCGATGCATTACCGTGCCGCGCACTCAATTATGCTTCACGCTAGATCGGCGATATGCGCTATTGTGCCTCGCTGAGCTGCGATGAATTGATATCGTCAATTAAGTAGTGCAATGCACTATTGGGTCGCATCGCGCAGCAGATAATGTTTCTCGCATTTTTTAGATCAGCGATGCATCACTGGACCACGCCGAGCAGCGAAGGATTGACATCGTCAATTTCACCTAACCATGTGCTTTCGCGCCGCTGCGGGCGCCGTGAGGCGGGCGCGCTACTGCAAGCGCAAGGGCTCTGGATATAGCAAATCGTCTATCAATCATTCCTCCTTCGCAAAGCAAAAATCTGGAAGTTTACCTAACCATGTGCTTTCGCTTGTTTCACAAATAAAACGCGCGCGTCGGGAGGCGGGAGTGCGCTACTGCAACATGCGAGCGCAAGGGCTTTGGATTTCACATAGCCATGTGTATACGCGTACTGCGTGACGCGCTTGTTTCAAGCGAGAGGGCTCTGGTTAGCGCAAGCTATGGATAGAGCAAATCTGGAAGCAGGTTAAGCGTTGACATCGTACTCAATCAAATAATATTAAATAATATTAAACACCTCCCGAGATTTTAGCTAGCAGTGTCGCGAATGCAATGTACTATTGTATATATTGGACTGCTACGAGCATGGACAACCGAAGAATCGACATCGCGGTCGTTTGGAATTAAGTTGCATATCCTTTTGTGCGCGCGCGTGAAAAGGGAAATACAACACGTTGAACGTGTGTCAAAGTACAAACTAACAAAGTAAAAGTTCATATTAATTCATTTTCCAGTAGATATAATGCTGCACTGTCATGTGTGATTCGGAGTTTACCGCGACCGCGGTTGGGATTTGTAATTAAAAGAACCCTAGCTCTAAATAAATAATCGAGTTTTACTAGCCTGCATGTTATGTAATTGTCATACGTTGTAGACGTACCCGCCGCGGACGAGTGCGCGGCTGTATCGTAGTCACGATAAACTTAGTGAATCTAGGTCAACTATAGGTAAAAACATAATATTAATCATAAGCTAAAATATATTAATCTTTGTATTATAAATGGGGAAAAGAAGAAACATTGTCAGTCAGTCGAGAAAATTGTCAGTCAGGCTATATATATGGCAGCTTTGTAGATGTTGTCAGTTGTGACAATGCTAGTAGTGGTCCCAGGCTTGCGACTGGAATTGCGGTCATGCGGTGTTAAATCGATTTAACGGTATACCAACGATCCACCTCCCACTTGTTGTTTGGTACTTAGCATTAAGTACGACATACGACAATTGACAATAGCCGGGGTCACGACGTGAATCGTGATACAAGCATGTAATATTTAAACGGGTGATACTCGTAAATATTTGTTTAAACAGGACCGTCGACGAGTCCAACTCCGCGCGCGTCCTGGTAGATTATAAACCTACAAGTATTGTTTCAAGAAAAAAAGCGGTGCGCGCCCACTTCGAAGAAATCTAAACAAATTTCATATCCAATATCTGTCCAGTAATAACAACAAACATTGATTAGGGTAGCATGAAACGTAGAGCAAGGTGTTTTCTATTTATAGGGAAAAAAGTCAAATGAGGGGGGGGGGGGTCAGGCCATAATTACTGATTACGTAATATTGCTGTCAGGAGGGGGGGGGGGGGGGGGGGTTGGGTCTTGATTACGGAGGGGGGTAAAAATTGCTAAAATATTGATTACGTAATATTACGTAATATTAATCACTCTACACTCGACTGTCACGTGAATTTTTCAATCCGTTCTCTAGCTGGCCCTGAAAGACTATTCGAAACCCTAACCCTCTAGTCTGATCCCAACCCTAACCCTTACCCAATCCATAACAAAAGCATATGCTGAAACCCTAACGAGAAATTAGACTAACTTCCTTATACGATCATATCACGTGATTGGTGATCGAGACAGTTTTTCGCCAATATCTCGTCAGGGGAGCATTTTAACCCTATGTCATGGGGGGTGATTCGGAATCAGCGTCCGAAAATACATCGATCGAAGCTGGTTTCAACTGTCGGGGGCCCTTTTAGAACAATCTCGAAGATCGACTGTAGAGTGATTTAGCACGCTCGCGGACACGGGGGTAAAATTGGCAAAAATCTTGCTGACGTCATATTAGGTGAACGATTTCTAGGCCTTATTAGCACGTTTTTTGTATTTTAAATCGCAAAGATTGTTTAATCATTAATGAATTAATGGGGTTCTACTGTTATACTTATAGGTTATGAATTCATCCAAAGTCAACCTCAAACTTGCAACCAAATTAAACTCAGTAAATTTTGTATTCGTTTCAAAATTGAATTCAATTTCAAAAGAAACTCGTGAAATTCAAAAGTTACCGTGACTCAGACTGCAAGAGATCATACAAAATTATTTTAAAAAATCCATTCATAGCTAAGAGTAAGAGTAAGAGCGGTTAGGGGTCGTTCACACTTCACATGTTACGTTATGTTAAAAATGGGTCATATTCAAGTGATTACGTAATATGTGAACGACCCCTTATATATTATGGCAGGACTTCGCCTTCGTAGGGGATGATCATGATGTGTTACTGTTGATGATTAAAATTTCGGTGTGTTTCGTGTGACAGCTGGTTGTGGGGCTCCCACGTGACCTTTTAGTTATCTTGGACGATACACTTGACAATTGTGTGTTGTGACTTGTGAGCGTATAACATTAACAGCGTTATTTGAAATTGAAACATCCTACCCCGTAAACAATGTCGACTATAATGCTGTGTTGTCAACAAACTATTATAGAAACTGAACAAACCTAAATTTCGCCTAAATTGTGAACTACTATATATATAGTCAAACATATCATACATCTGTATAAAATAAAGCTGGTGAGCCAAAAATATATAAAAATATTAAAAACAACCTCTGTTAAATCAGTTGCTACAATAACTTATCCAGCACATAAAATCAAATATAAGAATAAAAACAAAACATATCATCGACTATTCTCAAAGTTGCTCCTATATAACTGAAAATCTGCGCTGTCAGGGCTAGGCATGAGGCAAGAAAGCGGAGCAGGAATATATCTCATAGAGTTGGACGTTGACGCCTCCTCGGATAACCGCACAGTTCCTGGCGAGATCCCGTTCTGACTCTTCCTCTGATCTAACCCCACGTCAAATGTATTGGGAGGATTGTAAATAGTCACGATCTCTTGAATCTCATCATCAGCAGGAGGCGGAACTCCAGCCAGTTTTTGTTCTCTCAGTTTCCTCCACTCCTCCCTTCTCTGAACAGAAGGTGGCATGCAGACCATAGGTTGCGGAGTAGGGATGTCGACTGAAATTTCTCTCATTCTTTTATACTGCTCTCCTTCATCAAGATGAAGAGGTTCATATAACAATTTCTCCATGTTCTGTTTTGAGTCCAGTAAGATGTCAAGGTTTTTATTAGAGTTGTCAGTCTCAAACTGGAACACACTCGGTACCCGTTCTGAAGGTGGTTTATACACCGGTAGGTTGTTGGCAGCATCCCAAACCCTGAAATCGTCCACATTGTTCGTTTTCAAACACCACTGTATATGTTCCTCGCTCACATTTTCGGGAGTTGGAATGTTTTTCATACCCTCAAGTGGTGCAACAGTTCTAATGTCATGTGGTACAACAGTTCTAATGTCATGTGGTGCAATACTACGAATGTCATGTTGCGCTGAACCGCTCCCTTCACTCGAGATAGTCCGCATATAATCAGGGTTTATTCTCAGATTATTGGTATTAACATTATCTCGATGCAGAACAGCGTCACCGCGCATTTCGCTGTTGCCAGACGCGGATTCTAGAAATCGCCGGACTTTTATAGCTCGCTCAGATTGGGTACCCGGAAACATGTCCCAAGTACTGGCTGGCAATTTTTGAGGGGTCATGATATCTGATCTTCCGTGATCTGATCCAACGACCAAGTTAGTGCTCGTAGTCATCGGTAATTGTTCTCTCATTTGATCGATATGTGTCTGGACCTGTCTAAGGTTAAGATTAACGTTTGGGGTCGCATGTATCTGGTTGGTAAGCTGGTTGGTAATCTGATTTACCAGACAGCCCTTACTGAAATCCGCACCAAATTGGGAACTTCCCGGCGGAAGAGAATCAGGCTCTCTGAAATCATACATAGCAAACTTGCTCTTGCTCTTGGCAGGAGGCTTGGCAGTAGCTCGCCTTTTTGAAGAAACCCCACTGTTAGCAGCGGAGACTGGGAAGTTGAACTGATCCAGGCTGATTATCTGCTGTTGGGGAATGCTGGTTCGGACGACTTGGTGCGATGCAACGTTGTAGTCTGATTGGGGGCGGGGCCGACACGGAGGGCGGAGATCAAAAGTGGGATTTCCCGGTGGAGCCGGAGAGACGGACTGGACTGACTTGATCTTTAGCTGTAGTCGAGGGGAAGGGAAGAGGTTCCTGGTCCCTGTTGGATTATCAGTTTGAAATTAAAATTATAAACTTTCAAGTTGTCAATTAATTGTTTCAATACACGCCACACAGTCAATTTCCTTTTACTAGCAATTTATTAACAATGGAATTCACAGCACAGAGCTATTTACAAAACACAGCACAAAAACACTTCACAGTCACGACTATTGGATCACGCTTATACCACAGCCACGAATAGCTGGTCTCTAAGTTTCAAGATTCAGGGATGACTGAAGATTTAATTCTCACTAAACGGTGAGAACTGGTTACCTGGACAGCTGACGGTGGACATTAAGTTGAATACCGGATGTGAAGCAGGATATGGAGCAGGATATGGAGCTGCAGGATGGGGGACTGACAGTTGGACAGGGAGTGGGGCAGAGTGGTGTAGAGGAGACAGCCCAAAGTCACCCTGAACCTCTTCTAAAACTGGTGGGCTTGTTCTCCTCCGTTTGGGATCATCCTCAATTATCTAGTGGGTACAACTCTGTTAAAATCAGGGCTTTTTATCTATTTTATTATGGAATATTTCAAGACAACGGATAGTAAAACAGTGATAATGGACTTTTAAAAGTCTGTATCATTGATTTTAAAATGCATCAAACAATTACTTTTAATATAACGTTGAGATGATATTGCAATAAACCTGAGTGTGGGGTATCATTATAGGAGGGGTTGGCTGCGCGGCTAGGGTAAGTTCTTTACTCTTCTTCCTCGGCCTACCCCTGCAGAATATCATGATAAAATTCAGTGTTTGATGTAATGTGATTTGGCTCAATGCTCGCTGTTTCGGATCATAACACTCGCATTACATGCCCCTCAAGTGTACTCTCCATCAACATATATAGGAAATCGTCAAAAACAGTCTTACTGGATTTGGAAAATGCAGGAAGTAACGAAGAATGGTCACCACTATTACCTTATAACTTACCCGGGTTACGAAAATCAATAAGAATCTAAAAAGCGGACACTAAAAAGCTGCCAAACTGAAATGGCACAAATTGCACTGGATTATCAAGGTCTCATTCGGAGAACACATTCACTCCCGGAAATCGTACATTCACTGCCACATAGTGCATACCTGTACTGATAACACACTTAATATCGGCGGTATCAGCAAAAAATTTCTCTAAAATACCTAATGAATTTGCTGATTGCAGATCAGAGCCTTTAGAATTAGTGGTTTGGAAATTATGGATGGAAATTGAAATTTTTGATTTTTAATACATATTTGCTACCCATGCGGGGATGAATATTTCATATCATTATCTATACTAATAATCTCAATAAATGTGTGTGTGTGCGTGTGTCTGTCTGTAATTTATGAATGGTTAAATCAAGAAAACGGTTAGAGATATGGGACTGATTTTTTCGGTATAGTGCCGACAAAACTGTGACGAAGCCAAATGATTAAGGTTTTTCAAATCGGTCGGTGGTAAGTGGTTTAATTGATCATTTTGTGACCCAAATGTGATACTAAAGTGTACTCTCCCTCTTTCCCACTCTCACTCTCTCTCCCCTTATAACAGATTTGCTATAGGTTATTTGGCAGGGACCTCAAGATTGCCTATCAAGTATTACTATTAGATACGTGAGTGGTGGGGGGCATTCACAATTAAATTGCGGTGTGTTTGGACTGAGCGAGTTCATACTTTCGCACCGTTTTAACTACGAAAATGTAATGCGTTTTTTAGAATTAAATATAATAGGCGGGTTTATACTTTTGCATTTCAACTGCGATAGTGAAGTCCCGGCCGTAGGCACGGGTTACACTAGTAATTATATACTTTTGAGTAAACATTGACTGGCACTACGAGCGAATCTCCAATCAATAAATCAATCGATATACAAATCATTACCTACGATCAAAAGAGAAGAATACTATAATAAGGTGAGGACTGAGGACTGGATATATGCAATCGCGACATTTCCAGCAGGCACTAAATAAAATCCAAGCCTAAGAACTCAGCTTCATGTGGCGCTGACCGCTGACCAGTGACCGTGGCACATACCTTTTCTTTGCTTTCCGGACGTGGTCTGCTTTCTGTCGCTCTTGTCTTTGGGCCAGGATATGCTGCCGCTGATCTAGAATCTTCTGGCACAGTGCAGAAGACACGTGACGAACAACAGACGGTTCCGGGTGGGTGGCTGTGTCGTCAAATGTAAACCCGGTCTGAAGAAACGTTGTTAGAATATTTGGCGGGAAACGGTAAAATTTCCCAACATTCTATCTTGCAGATTCAAGTTAAGAATGTTTATTTAGCCACTTTCATCATCAGCTTAAAAAGAATATTCACTCTAACTATATTCATGATATTATGATCAACTATGAAGAATAATATTAAGCTACTAACCCCAGAGAAAGCTTGGTAGTTAAAGATAGCCATAATATTGTGGCCCATAGACAGTATACGCGGACTCCACTTGGCGTGTTGGTTCACAAAACTACGACCGGTGTAAGACTTCGTCTGAAATATGTGGTTAAAATATGTGGTTAAAATGGGCTGCTCTAATGTTCGGGCCCTAAAGAAGTATGAAGGAATTCCGTTAAATCAAAAACTGTCAATATCTCATGTTACACATCTTATGAGTAAGTATCTCATAGGGGATTTTAAAAGGTTTCTTGAAAGAATCAGTCGATCTAAAAAGAGGAAAAAATGAGTGTCTACATCATCAATGTATTTTATAAAACCATGCCAAATTCGCTCAAAATACAAATTATTTATGTTAAATATTATGCGCATTTTAACACGAATAACAACAATAAAAGAACCACTCACCGTTTGATTATCTATGTCCACGTGGATTACTTTGTATCGATTGTCTCCAATAGGTACTGTACTAAAATAGTTTACACGCTAAGAATTATAAAATCATTAATATGTAATCAAATTAAATTAAATGTATTGAAGAATTTATAAAATGAGTACCAATATCAAATCTGTACCACTACAGTAACTGTAACAGACCTATCCAATCTTGGCTCATTGTGTGCGGTAGGAGGACTTTACAGCTAACGGACTTTATTACAGCTAACAGGGTCATTCAGCGATATTAGGTCTAAGCGAGGTTATGGTTTTTGAAGCACCCGCTCTACTTCCGAATGGAGGCTACGTTTAACGGTACAACTAATGTGCAATGGGGTTCTTGTGGTGCAGGGATTGGGTACATAGCAGAACTGTACACAAAATAAACAACGTCAAAGAGTTTACACCCGTTTGCTCACAAGCACTAAGTACGGGTTGATGCATCAAATTATTCCAAAAACTGGTCGGTTTTAGCTCTGCATCTGGACAGAGGGCGGGCACACATCAAAGACAAACCACCATAAATTATGCTCATAAAAGACATAGAGCTCACTGTTCGAACACTAATTGCTGCTTTTCTAAGGAACGAGGAGTCAAGATCTTTTCAAAACTGACGTGTTTAGAAGAGGCGCAAATCTAAACATGCTAAACTAATGGTATGCCCACTAACATGGGATAAACTGTTCCCATTGACAAGGGACTTACTATCTATTAAACGACAGTCTGGGTATAGAATTCTGGCGGAACTATGTTCGGGGACCGGGGAATCTTTAAAAGTGGTCAAGTAACGATAGTGCCACATTATTATCAATAAGAGCTTATTATCCCGTGTGATCTTAATAATCTAACAAACTGGTTATACCGGTGAATAAATGTAGTTCTAGAGAAGTAAGAAAATGTCTGCATGATAGCCTTTTTTATTTAAAGATTCAACTGAAATCAAGTTAACACACGTCACACAACAGATTAAATAGAAAAACGCAAACAAATAAAACCGGACTAACTGTACAAATTCTCCTGATCCGCACGAACTAACTGAATTAGACTTTAAACGGAGCCCGAAAGATTGGCAGTCTGCCAAAACGTAAATTACACTGTAATCATTAACTGCCACGTGTAACACGGTGCCACGTGTAACACCGAACACGCGACGGTCCCTTAAAATCTCAAACTTCAGTAGCGAGATTGCGTTCTGTAGAACAAAACAGAAATTTAAACTGATGCGGTGGACAAAAAAAGAGAACTAAATAGTGATAAAAAGTATCTGTAATTGCGGTGCTAAGTGATGATAACGAGAGCAATTGAATAAAATGTATAATATTTGAATATTTTAACATAAAAGTTGAAAGACATATGTAAATATACAACATGTAATATCAAAAAATGTCGTTATCTCCTATCGATAAAGTTCACCGATGACAGATGTTAGAGGAATGGTACAACTTTCAGCGTGGTACAATGGCTGGTACCTCATCTGTTATTTGATACGACCATTAGGTGGCTTCATTATTAGAGAGTGCACGGAGCTATACTTAGAAAGTTTTGTCGGGGCGATTATTTATCGTCAGCAACAGAAAAAATTAGGAATAAACATTAAAACCCTGATTTACCGCGGCCATTTCTATCCCCCAATGGGGATGTGAATAATCAAAAAATTCAAAACTTTGAAAGACATAAACCTATTCTAACATTTTATTTCAAGGTATTATCCCTAAAACCTTTCAGATTTTGACGACTATTTCTTCAGAAAACAGCCACGATTCTTCGAGCTGCAAGTTAAGAAAAGGAATGCTAATCAATAGATACAAAGAGCTATTCTAGATATCTGTATGATGTACATAAAATATGTACTCAAGTGCAAATGTTCCCGGAAACAACGTGAATTCATTGCTAAAGTAAATTCAACAAAATCTTAGAACAAACAAGACAAGGTTGCAAGGATTGAAGCAACTTAACCAGACACGGAATGAGATTATGCAAGTCCGCCTCTCGATCAGTAATCTAATTCCTACTGATAAACAGTTTGTTATATTACATATATTCAATACTCATATTAGTTTGGACCGGATTAAAGGTGTACGTGTCGCCCGTTAGTAATTATCGTTTATAACTATTCAGGGGTATGTTATTAAGACTTTTCTTCCGTAGAATTGTTACTAGAAACTAATAATTCCTTTTTTGGACCTGGTGGGAACATATATTTATAATATCGATGCGAGAAGAATTGGATAACTTCCGGATCCTTCGATACCACGTGTAGCATTTAATTTGGCCGAGTATTCAATTTTATTATCTTTTGGACCGCAGGTAATTTATGATAATAATTCATCAGAACAGGACTAATCGAGTTAAGCATGAATTGAGATTATAGCAAGTTGGTTGAAAAGAGCGCTTAAAGAATGTAGGAATTGCAAGTGAAGAACGCGAATCTGGATTCTGGGGCGAATCTGGATCTGAACAGAATTAAACGACTCCAGAAGGTCACATGATTTATACGAGAAATATAACGGAAAAATCAGAAGAACGCCAAGCGGGATGAGGATAATTATGTTGCGGTGTGCCTTTTCCAAAGGGAGCAGACTAAATCAACTCGACAAAATTACATTTCATATTTTCATTTCCGAGAGGTACTGAAAAATAAAATGATAGTGTCTCATTCTACGGAAAAGGGGCGCGGCGGCGAATGCAATTACGAGTTAATTATATCCGCGTCCGGTATTATGAATTCCTCCTGTTAGTGATAAAAGTAACAAAAAACCAAACAGCACTATTACTACGTTTCGGCTAGGTGCTAGGATATAGAACACACTCCACTACCGCCTTTATCCCAAAGTAACCTAGGAAACCCACAAATTTCTTTAGAGAGATTTTTGGATTCTCTCTGCATATCCATCAAAATTTGAACAAAAATCAAATTGTGTTGAGACCACACAAGCACAAAGGGCTGATGTATCAAGATATTTTTTAATCTAAATATGCAAAACTAATAGTATGCCCATTACTATGAGATTAACTAAGCCCCTAAATAAGGGACTTCCTGTTTTAAAGCTTACGGTTTAGAGATTGAAATGTTGGCTCAGGTTTAAGATAACACAACCCTCGAAAGCCTAAAACACCAGTATTTTAGGAGAGTAGTGAAGGAGTGACAGACCAAACCCACTGTGATTGACAAAATTTTACAAAACTTTCTGGTATGTAAGTCTGATAAGTCCGTTAGTAATTAATAATAATTGAGTCCTGCAATTACGGTAAATATTTACAATTTATTATTCAGGGCATATTATTAAATATAATTTTCAGTGCATATATAACATATTACTTACACGACATTCTCAGGGCTGACTAGGGTGTTGGGAGTGGAGTAAGTGTGGTCAAATATCCACGTTATCTTGAGCATGCTCTCGAACCCAGAATAAGCCGAACATCTGTTAACTCTCAACCTCCCGTTCTTATCCCTGTAATAAATATATTTATATATATTAATTATAAACAAACTGAAGTTTTATATAGCAATTTATAATAAATATGAATTTCCTCCCCCAGGTATAATTCCTCTAGTTGGTTGAAACTCGAGCAAGCGGATAAATCTTATTAGCTTGCTTCCTGATCTTAACCATCGTGCTCCATGAACACAATCAGAAATTTCCTTCAAATGTTGCAAGATCTTTTATTTTAATTAACAATAATCAAACTAATGCCAAACTCGCCGCTGATATAATAGCTAGGTAGTGGTTGGATATTAGTGGCATTTAACCTGTTTTCAACGTTTGAAGCTATAATCTTCTTGTCGAAAATGATGAGATCTTTAAGTTTGACGTTGATGCGTTTGCCGTTTTTCTGTATCCTGACCGAAGACTCAGCTTCCACGATAGCGTTGATTTTATCCTGACTGAGGTACGGTCCGGTGGAGCCGAACGTTGGTCTCATTCTCATCCGGTCCAAATAACGCCTTTTTCCTGAAAACACAGCGGATAATAATTTAGTGAGCCTATATTTTCTTTTATTGCCAATTCTTGTAAACCAAGTCCTGCGCCGTACATTTTCAAGTGCTAAAATAGGTTCATACAATTGTTCGAAAAGTATCATTGAGAACAACTCAGTTACTGACGTGTAGGTTTATCGTCCTCAGCTTTGACCTTGTGCATGATACAGAGTCTCCAGTCAGACTTGGTGTCCTCGTTTCCCTCAGGTTGAGGGCTGCTATCACTGATATTAACAACAGGACTAATCTCCCTCTGAAAAATAAAACAGTAATTTCTTTAGAATTTTTTTCTCTTAAAAAATATGATTCTTTGCGGCTCCGTTGAGAATATTATAAATATAAAAACAGTCAAACATCAAACTCAATGATGTAACGAAAAACGAGATCGTGATTAAAAACGACTACACTACATATTATAAACCTCACCTTGCTGCGGATATTATCCTCGGATGTTTCAACAGTGACATGGTACACGTCCTCTTCGTTAATGATGGGTACGGTGGAAGTGGGAACATGCAGGTGAGCCGTGGACTCCCACATTACTGCCCTGTGAGATAAGGGGTTTAGGGGTTTAGGGGCGCAGGTGGGGGAAAGAGGACTCCCACATTACTGCCCTGTGAGATAAGGGGGTTAAGGGATTTGGGGGTTCAGTGGTGGGGGAGGACTCCCACATTACTGCCTTGTGAGATAAGGGGTTTAGGGGTGCAGGGGTGCAGGTGGGGGAAAGAGGACTCCCACATTACTGCCCTGTGAGATAAGGGGGTTAAGGGATTTGGGGGTTCAGTGGTGGGGGAGGACTCCCACATTACTGCCTTGTGAGATAAGGGGTTTAGGGGTGCAGGGGTGCAGGTGGGGGAAAAGAGGACTCCCACATTACTGCCCTGTGAGATAAGGGGTTTAAGGGGGTTCAGGGGTGCAGGTGGGGGAAGAGGAGGACTCCCACATTACTGCCCTGTGAGATAAGGGGTTTAGGGGTGCAGGTGGGGGAAGAGGAGGACTCCAACATTACTGCCCTTTGAAATAAGGGGTTTAAGGGGGTTCAGGGGTGCAGGTGGGGGAAGAGGAGGACTCCCACATTACTGCCCTGTGAGATAAGGGGTTTAGGGGTGCAGGTGGGGGAAGAGGAGGACTGGGGGGTACCAATGGCATAGAATGGAGACAAATGGCATAAAATTCATCAAATGGCATAGAAATTTCATGGCATAAATGGAAATTTTGTTTGGCCAATTCTCCATTTATGCCAATTTATGCCATGAATTTAGGTCTTCATATTTGACCTTTAGGATGACTTTAAATTCGCAAATATTATTAGTACTTGAATAAGAGACATGTTTCATGCTTTATAACACTTGGAATGATCGTTAAAGTCAAAGATTCATATGACAAATAAAGAAAATAGAAATGTATTATATCAAATATATACCAAACATTTCACTATTCAAGAAAAGCAAATTGTGAGATGTTCAAAATGTACAGAATACAAACATTGACAACACAACGATTTTGAATGTCATCAAGGAACAATGCATGTGATGTATTTGTCTTAGACGAGTAGCCAAACATTAGGAGATCCGTTGATTAGGCTATACTCCTGGCAGTAGTACTTCATCGGGCATGACTAATAAGAAATAAATCTAACCACTCCTTTTGCAAAGTCCTGCTGAGATTTGAAGACTTTAAGAGTTTCTGTACTGCCAGCTTTCAAAACTGTTGAACATCCGCATTCAGGTTGATTGTATATGCGAACATCAGAATTCAGAAGACACTCCAAACGCGTTCCCCTTGAATCTTGAAAGACGAGATTTTGTTGATAAAGTGCTTCTTCCTCCATTGAGCGTGAGTATCTCAAAAGACCGGAAGGAAAGTGTTCCATATTTATCTGTTGATATCGTTTCTCCAACATCACAATCATCAACTCCAGGTTCTACCTCATAAGCTTAGTCGTCCTCATCCCGAGGCATCCAGCTTCATCATCTACAGCTTCCCAAGAAAGTACTTGGCCATGGACGATTGGCTTCCCACTCTGTTCTTCGGGATCTGCGACTGCGGCGAACACAGAGAAATTATTTCTTTTCCCTTCTCGAATGCAGTCCCTCGATGCCCCGTCCAGCGTTATTTAAGCAATATATTATGTCATCATCATTTTGTATAATAGGAAGCAAGTATTTCAGGTCATTTGGTGAACTGTTATGTAATACTAATATTACAGGTTCATCGAGATTCGAGATATCAATGAATATTATTTTTAAGGGCAAAGACCTCGAAAAAAGAAGGACAGGCACCAATCTCAGTAGACAAAAGAATTATTGAAGAACCGTAAGGAATTTAAGCGTAAAGACCCTAATTCGAACGCTAACAGGTCAGAGTATTCTAGATTGAATAAGATTTTTTAAAAAGTAGCAAGGTGGACGATAACAACTGGGCACGTAGAATGGCCAATGACTTGGAAGAAGCTGCGAGAAAAGGTCAGCAACGTGAGGTATGGCAGAAGATCAATGTCATATCTGGAAAGAAGAAGAAGCAGTCAACTGCAGTTAGAGACGTATCTGGCCAGTTGATTGCCGACCCACATGCCCAGAAAGAAAGGTGGAAAGAGCACTTCTCTAGGCTATTGAACCCTCCCCCGCAAGAGGCCAATATTTCTGACCTAGACAACATCCCCCCGCAACCCAGTTTTGACGACCTTTCCGATTCGGATGAGGCTCCTACAAGAAACGAGATTGTTGATGCCCTCAAAAAACTCAAGAATCACAAAAGTCCAGGAGTGAATGGTATCACCAACGAGCAACTTTAAGTATGGACAGGATGGGTTGGTCGATCAACTAGTTGTGTTGTTCAAGAAAGTGTGGGAAGATGAGAAGATTCCTGAGGATTGGTCCAAAGGTGTTATTATCATCGTTGGAAAGAAGGGTGACACCTCTCATTGCGCTAACAACAGAGGCATTACATTAAGATCCACAGCCTCGAAGCTCCTGCAGATGATACTCCTGCGGAGACTTAGCAATGGCATGGAAAAATTCCTCCGGGAGAATCAAAGTGGTTTAAGACAGAATCGCTCATGTATTGACCAGGTTTATTCACTCCGCTGTATTATACACCAATGCATTGAGTATAATATCCCTCTGTATATTAATTTTGTTGATTTCAAAGCAGCTTTTGATTCGATTGACAGGCAGTTCATTTGGGGAAGTATGCAGCACTACGGCTTACCTGACAAGTACATTAGAATTATGAAGGCGTTCTTCACTCACACAGTTAGTGCTGTTAGGGTCAATGGAGAGGTTACAGGTTGGTTTGATGTTAACTCGGGTACTGGGCAAGGTAATATACAGGGACCACCAGTCTTCAACTTTTGTTTGAATTTTTCAGCATACCTTATGGAACTGAACAAGGTCATTAGCAAGGGGGCTTTATTACAGCTGCCAGCCCCGGGGTAGAAGAGAAACATCTCTTGGACACTGATTACGCTGATGACATGGCCATGTTAGATAACTCAAAAGAGGGGCTGCAGGAAACCACTGACCTTCTATGCAAATACAGTGCCTATGCGGGTCTGAAGATTAATGCTGGCAAAACACAGAGCATGGTTGTCAGTAAAAGTGCATCGCAGAGGCCGTATTCTAAAGACGACACTATGGACATCAATGTGGAAGGTCTCCCAATACAGCAGGTCAGCAATTTCACTTACTTGGGTGCAATCATCAGTGCGAATGGAACAATTGACAAAGAACTATCAGCTCGAATTCAAAAGGCCTCCGGGGCATTCTATCAGCTTAGCAGTATATGGTACAGTCGCAACATCAAGACTCCGACTAAAATCAGGATTTACAAAGCGGCTGTTCTCACTATACTGCTTTATGGAAGTGAGGTATGGAATACCACACAGACGCAGATGAAAAGATTTGAGGTGTTCCATCATAGATGTCTAAGGAGAATCCTGAAAATCAAATGGTTTTATCATGTATCTAATGCTGATGTACTTAAGCGGGCTAACATCGCCCCTGTTGATACTTTCGTACGAGCAGCTAGACTCCGATGGTTTGGCCATGTGGTGAGGATGCCAGAAGAAAGAATACCCAACTATCTTCTGCACTGGATCCCAAAGCATGGTAAAAGGTCAAGAGGTAGACCTCGGAAAAACTGGTTGTCATGTGTCCGGGAGGATGCAGCAATCTTCACAGGTGTCGATAACATCACGATAGAAGATGCAGAACAACAAGCAACAGACAGGGTTCACTGGAGAGGTCTAATACACCGGAGAAAAGAGATACTATGTGGTGCAGGCCACTCCAACGACTAGGAGGAGACCTTTTCAAGTACAAGTAAGTACCCATTCGAAACATGTTTACAGATCATTATCAATCTTATGAAAATGTTTAAATTTTAAAACCTTCAACATGAACACGGCCCCGACACGATACATCTGTACACACTACACAATACACATCATTAAAAAATAATATTTTAATCGAGTTGGTAATGTTACAGTTTTCCACTGTTAATTTGGATATAGATATTCGATTGACTCGGAGCATTCAGTCGACTGTCCTCTCTGTTATATGGTGTGTAGCGTGTACTATGCCATACTGCCCGGTCACTTGTCCACTATCAACCAAATTCTCATATCATATTGATATACATTGAACGTCATTATAATCAATAATGCCCATTGCTAGGGATATTTTGAGGAATTTAATGGGTGAAAATAAATGTTGTACTAGTACAATAAATAGAGATAAAGGTGGACAGTAATAGTGGGGTGCAGACAATTCGTTATCAAATTCTCAGTTCAAAGTTTTAAAATTTCATATTTCGAATGGCATAGAATGGAGACAAATGGCATAAAATTCATCAAATGGCATAGAAATTTCATGGCATAAATGGAAATTTTGTTTGGCCAATTCTCCATTATGCCATTTATGCCATTGGTACCCCCCCGGAGGACTCCAACATTACTGCCCTTTGAAATAAGGGGTTTAAGGGGGTTCAGGGGTGCAGGTGGGGGAAGAGGAGGACTCCCACATTACTGCCCTGTGAGATAAGGGGTTTAGGGGTGCAGGTGGGGGAAGAGGAGGACTCCCACATTACTGCCCTGTGAGATAAGGGGTTTAGGGGTGCAGGTGGGGGAAGAGGAGGACTCCCACATTACTGCCCTGTGAGATAAGGGGTTTAGGGGTGCAGGTGGGGGAAGAGGAGGACTCCCACATTACTCCCCTGTGAGATAAGGGGTTTAGGGGTGCAGGGGTTTGGGGTGCAGGTGGGGGAAGAGGAGGACTCCCACATTGCTGGCTAGGAGGTAAGGTAGTTGGGAATGGGGAGTGTGTTAAGCTAAGACAAAACACAATTCTCCAGTTTTACTTACAATCTCCCCCTTACGAACTTACCTTCTTCGAGCTTCAGCTATCATATGTTGCTCATTCAACCTATCCTGTTCAGTTTGCATCAGTTTCATTTGCTCCAGCTTGTTTGGACGACCTCCCTTGTTTTTCCTCGTTCTCCGTTTGTTGATTCTAGGCGGCAGCTCTTCTATCGTCTCCATCAACTCAGAAAATTCTGATAAATCCTTGCCTGAGAAAAAATTGTGTTTCAACATAATGATTTACAGTAGTTGTTTTTTTTTTTTTTTAATTAAAAAAAAAAAAGAGAGGCTGGGCCTGGTTGGCCCACGAGAGGATAGCATATGAATGCTTTGCCTACCTCTGGGGTATGGCAGTCCTGTGGGAGGATGCCAGTGGAATCAAGATGTGTAATCAAGGATGATGGTAAGTGTTGTGGGGTGTGTCATAGATTGGTTGAGTGTGGAAGAGAGAGGCGAAATAAGACGGCGTTAAAGTAGTCGCTATGTTACACCTGTCTGGTCCAACTCCTCTGGCACCACTAAGCGTATAGTGTGGTTTGTAAAGTTGACAATGGTGGAGATGTGTTGGTTGTCGAAACAGTGTCTCAACTATTATTAGCATTAAGGTATATGGACACGTTCATTGAAGTTTGAGGATATTGGTAAATATTAGTGACCCTACTAAATGGCACGATGATGTAAAATGTGTCACACTATAAAACTATATAAACCCTCAATGGTAAGGATAATCGTTTAATCCTCTAGATAAACTTTGTCGCATAACGATATCTTTATCAGACGATAAGATATCGCTTCAATGCGGCCGGCAGTGAGTTGTAAACTTTGTCACACTATAAAAACGTGACAGAGTTTACATGGACCCCTTGTTGCCGTGTTTGACCAAATTTTCGAATTTCAAATTTATAGGATAGTTGCATATGACTATTATCTACATATTAAGCGACTTTTTTCGTTAAATGGTTGCACCATGTAAACTCTGTCACACATTTAAGAAATTTATATGAGGGATGTTTATGACATCCTGACAAGAAATGCCGAATAGTCTAGCATTATTTTGTGAGCTGAATGTGTTTGGAATTGTTCACATATTTCATTGTTATAGGCAAATACAAATACGGAAGGCAGAAATGGGTAAACTTTGTCACATACATTTGTACGATATCTCAACATGTGTGAAATTGAGTAAATATTAGTATACCAACTTAAACACCATATATTACGTACTATGGATCAATTAACAATATTTCAACCACACACCGGTCATATAAATTATTATATGGCAGTGATATGTTAACATTGGCAAAATTTCAACACCTGAACATGGTAAAAATTTGTAAATTTCGTCACAAAAAAAATATGATAACTTTATTTGCTATTTGTTGGCAAAATAACTAGTTTATCGACATAGGTATGGTGATAAAGTAAAATTATATCCTATTCGAGGTATGATTCTTGAAAATAGGGGGCAAGGAATGTAAATTTCGTCACATCAGCCCTTGCATTAGTTAGATAGATTTTCTTTCGTATCAACAGTCCTTATTATAGTTAGAATGGATTTACACAGGAAATATTAAGAAACCCATGCCAATTTTTCATCACATTGATATTATACTGTTGGGGCAGGAAAAGTAAATTTCGTCACATTTCAGTAACGTAGTAAAATTAAACTCAGCATTGTTAAACTTGAGCTCTAATTTGCTGAACAATAACCAACCAATAATTTCTGGAAGAAAATTGAATTCTAAGGTATGGTTCTTCAAAATAAGGGCAAGAAATGTTAATTTCGTCACATACGTCATTTAAAATTTAGATACAATTTCTTTCACGTGAACAGTCCTAATTACAGTCCGAAATGATTAATACAGAGATACAGGAAATATAAAAACCCCTGCCCATTTTATAATGTATGTAATATGTTAATCACCTTACGATGTCATTTTGTGACGATGTTTATATCAACTGCCCTATACTTGAATCAACTGTATCCGTGTATCGTCCCTATATAGAGTTTTCCCGCAAAATTTAACTTCTTTACGATGTCGTATCATTTTGTGACGATGTTTACATCAACTGCCCTATACTTGAATCAACTGTATCCGTGTTTCGTCCTTATATATAGACTTATAGAGTTTTCCCGCAAAATGTAACCTATTTACGATGTCGTATCATTTTGTGACTATGTTTACAACAACTGCCCTATACTTGAATAAACTGTATCCGTGTAACGTCCTTATATAGATTTTCCCCGCAAAATGTAACCTATTTACGATGTCGTATCATTTTGTGACGATGTTTACATCAACTGCCCTATACTTGAATCAACTGTATCCGTTGATCGGCCTTATATAGAGTTTTCCCGCCTTCCAAACCAAAATCAGATATAAATGATTTCGGAAATTCACCCAGAATTTCAAATTCCATATAATGTGACAGAATTTACATCATTTCCCAATAACCAAGTGCATGTATTTCCTAACTTTTCAAAACAACATATTTTAGGGCTATGATTGGCAGAAGAACCATCAAATAATGAGTTGAAAGGGTTTTGAGGACACCTCACAGTAGAAAAGAGGTCTCGTATTCTGAGTGTGACAAAGTTTACGAAATATTGCCTTAAAGCCGTTCGATCCCTGCCCTTTAACCAATGTTGTATCATAATTGTTAGATTGACCTAATCTACTATATTTCAGACCAAGGAATGATAATTGGGGAGCCATGGTAAACAATGTCACAAAAATGTGACATTTTTTACATTATAGTGCCTAAAAGCAATACATTTTATTTCTGAGCATTGCATATGGGAGTGTGGGTCACGTGGCTAATGTTCAGAACTTACGAACACGCTAGATTAATAGATGCTAAAATTAAGCCACTATCGTCGAAAACGCTATTTTAGAAATTTACCAATATCCTCAAACTTCAATGAACGTGTCCATATACGATTTAGGTTTTAGACCGCAAAATATATCCAACGCAAAGATTTAAGATTCAATTTAATAATTCAAACAATATAAAGATGATTTATTAAGATTAAATGTTAAAGTTTGATCGCAAGATCGCACAATGTACCTGAATCAGATGCTGAAAGTTCAGTAAACTGAGAATCAGGAGCGTTCCTGAGCATGAACGAATCTGGTAGATCCAGACTGATTTCTAAAGCTTTCTTTTTTCTCCTTTTTCTCAATTTCTCTTTGTCAGCAGGCTGTTTGGTGATCTTTTTATTATCTGCACCATGAGAATCAGGTTTAGTTATATCAACACGAGATTCTTTCTTCTTTTGAGGCTCTGAAGACTGATCAGGTTTATCAGGAGTTCCCTGTTCTTGATCAATCTTCACGTCATTTGGCTTCTCACGATAATTAATGTTTTGAATAAATATTTTCGGTTCTTCAGCATCTTCAGGTTCTGATTTTATAGCTGAATCCATCTTATTCTTAAGCGAGGTGGTCGTTTGATGATCAGAGGGACCGTAAGAAGTTTCATTATTATCAATGCTGTTATCTTTTCCAGGTCGAACGTAAACTGATCTCAGAGGAACATTTTCCCCTCTTAAAGTGAAGTCCTTCTCAATACAACCCATGGCTCGAGAGAACCAGACTTTGGAAGGGAAGTCAGTAAATTTAGGAGAGTGGGGGTCTGAGGGGAGTATCCTGATGGAGACTTGGGAGGGTTGGGTGTTGTGAGATCGGGTGATACGACCACTGTCTTCCTCCTCGTCACTTTCAAACTTTACCTGGTTGAGATAATCATTTAAAAATAATTACTTGATAAGGATTGGCGAGGTAAAATTGAGAAGCAACGAAAAGTCTTCCCGCTACTCAATTGGAAATTCCTTTGAAAGCGATTTTCCATTGAAGGTTATGCTAGTAGTCAAAAAATCAAACCTCATAATCAAGATCAGGAAGAGGGTCAATAACAAGGTTTCTACAGCACACCCTCTTTACACATCTCTTCAACAGGATCTTACTTCTCCATCTTTTAATCTTCCTTTTCCTGTACTTCATCTTTTGTCGGTGCCGCGTGCGCCGCGCTATTGCACGTGTGTTGTTTTCTGAGCGATAGTCTGCTAGCTTGCGTCGGTTCCGCATCTTTTTCAAAAGCTCGTCGTTTTGTGCGGTAACTATAGTTTTCTTAGGTTGCCTGGAGAGATCTTTATGTGATACTAAAAACGTAACTTGGTGTTTTTTCATTATTGGGATTAATCATTAATATGATGTCCTACAAGTTACAATATCAACCAGTATAAATAAAATATGGTACTTACTTTCGGACGAACTTTTGGATATCTTTATCGTAAAGCAAGTTGTACTCATCAATGAAGTCGTCCATGTTTATGCTGACCGTGTCACTATAACACACACACTGAAACATTTAATTGCATATCATTTCCTCTTTACTGCAGTCTCGGTATAATGAATTTTAATGGTATGGGGAGGTACAGGTGAACCATATTTGTTTTGACACGTGATAATGATTCTAGGTTAACTATGCAGGGGTGACTTAGAGTTTGTCTTGACACAAATCTTAAGCAATTTTCTGACGATGTCCCAGCAGTCCCACTGATGTTTGAGAGAATTATTTTTCTATCAGTAGGCACTTCTCTGTTCTCAAAATTATTATGGTATGATTTAATATCTAGGAAGACCGTCATAAGCTTTTTTTCCAATGACGAAATATAAATCGAAATGCTTCATTAAAAAATAACCCAACCTTTTTCTAGTCATGCCGTTTGGAGATTTACACACAGAAAAACCCTTGCGGCCCTCCCAAACCTCACAAGACGAGAAACCCAAACACCGCTCGCCCATATCCCTCAAAGAGGTAAAGCGTCTCTTCACCGCAACCAGCAAACCAACGTCCCAAGAAGCAGCAGGACAGGTTTACTACAGTATCTGTGATATTCCGACACTTGGGGACGAATATGATCCGTACGCGCTCTTCCGTTATCTTGATGATGTTAGCTACGAAATGGATGTTGGTGTGGACAAGTACTCCCTGCTTACAGGGGTGGACGATGCTCATTTCAACTTCTTGGTGGACAGCGTGGACTTGGAGAAACGCGATGAATATGGGCAGTCGGTGTTGCACCTTGCAGCGCAGTACCTGGATAAGGAACACATAGAGCGCTTGGTTAACTCAGGCTGTGATGTTGAGGCGCATGATAAGAAGGGGTACACCCCTTATCTGTACGCAGTGATGGCAGATAACCTCAGTAACATGGAGGTGCTGAAACGGATGAACTGTAACTATGGCTACAAGATCTGGTTGTCCGGGAGATCAGCACTGCACGTGGCAGCACAGTATGGCGCGATGAATGCGCTGAAACAGCTCCTCAAACTCGGACTCAGTATAGATGTCCAGGACAAAGTTGGGTTGACTCCAGTGGTGATCGCAAGTTATTACAGCAAATCAGAAATATGTGCTTATCTTATCGAGCAAGGAGCTGCAACTGACATAGCTGACAAAGAAGGAGTGATGGGTCTGATGAGGATAGCAGCTTCCATGCCAACCTTAACACGAGAAGTATTAGACAGACTAGTGGAAGAGGATATCTATCAAGGAAAACGTTATTACAAACTAGGAGGACTAATGGGGGGTAGCCCTCAACCAAACACCTCCTTCTTTCACTACGTCGTGTGGTTGGGAAACCTGGGTATTGTCGAGCATTCCATCATGGAGCGACTTGTTCAGGCGAAATGGAACGGGTTCGCAAAACAACGTTTTAACATGGAGTTCCTGCTACTCATGTGCCTGTTAACATTCTGGACTGTTCTCTTCCTACAACCCCACGCTAATGTGCACATCATAGATTACACTACAGACACGTTTTACATCATCGTGGGAGCAGTGGCAACGTGTCTACATTGTCTCAGGTTCCTACGTAACATACGAATGTTGAGACAGCGAGCACGGTACATGGACTTTCTGAACAAGCTGTTCAGTGAAACCTATAAACACGAGACTGGACAGTTACATTTCAAGGAGTATGAGGAATATAAACCAATACTGGATAACAAGTTCGGCAAGAAAAGGGCTACTTTTTGGGAGGATTTGGGTAATTCTCCTGATGTGCTGTTGGATTTTATTGTTGATATACTGCTGACTACCTTACTCATCATCAAACTCGCAGTATTCGCTATGGATTTCAGTGAGTTTTCGTTTCTTGATTATGGGCATAGCTTAGGCATGAACTCAACATCAAATTATTCGAATCGACATGTAATACATAAATGTATGATATAATTGCAGCCTGATTGTAAGGATCGTGCACGACATTTGATTTTAGATAGAATTTAGGTATGAAATCAAATTCATCGTCAGTAGAAATTGAGACAAGTCATATTTTCAGAGGAGGAGAACGAGATCAATCAGAACACCACTCTCTTCAACACGACACAATACCAAGAATCCTACAGAGTACGAGTAAACGAATCAACACTCTGGGTTAACCTTTACGGAGCAGTAGTCATCTGTACCATGTGGATTTCAGGCTTTACCAAGTTAGCTGTCACTGAGAACGGCTCCTTTGTGATCTACATGAGAACCCTTGGCACGGACCTGATGAAGGTGGGCACGATATTCATGTTCGTCTACATTCCTGCTATCGTGTCCCTGTATAAGACTATATACGAGGGAGAAGTGGCGTGGTACGAGGCGGGGTTTATCGTCATTAGGATGGTGATGATTGACTACGATTACTCCGCCGGACTGAATGCTGCATCTGATTTTCCGATCTGGTGGATGCTGGCTTCCCTAACTTGGATCTTCCTTGGCTCTATCGTTATCCTCAACATTCTGATAGCTGTAATGGCGGAGAGTTACGCGGACATAATGGAGAAATCAGGCCCGCTGATGGCGAGAATGGAGCGTGCCCGGTGCATCACAAGGTTTGAGAGGAGCATGAGTATGGAGAGTCTGCAGAAACAGTACCAGTCTATAAAGGAGACCTGCTCCCCTGAGGTGGTTAAGTTCGATCCGGTAACCGACAGGGACACTATTGATGTGTTGAGAGAGGAAATATCGGCTCTGAGAGGAAAAGTGAATAAGACGGAGGATAAGATTGACTGTAATTTTAAGAGGGTTGAGTCAATGTTGGAGAATATAGTGCAAACATTGGAGCTGTACGCTGCAGGAGGTTCGGGATCTTCTTATTGATACTCGTTTGTTTATATTATACGTATATTTAATCTTTAAGTAAGGAGGTGTGTTTTGCTTAAAACCGTTTACCAAACCAAAGCAGCATAATCTTATGTGGATTATTACACTGCTCATTGCATTACAGTTTTTATAAAAAGTGGGAAAACCTCTAAAATAACTTACAAATCTCGAAATCTTTCCGACGTCCAACCATCTGTGCAGGGCGAAGTTTACGGACTCAGCTGCGTTGTATCCCATATTGAATCCGGAGTGATATCCGTTTGGAAATGTGATCATGAACTCGCCGGCTCGTTGCACCATCTGGTAACAAAATTATTGGTTAGTACTTCTTTCAATAAAATTTCCGAATGTCGCATACTGTACGGAAGATTAAATACAAACACGAAAGCGAAACAGAGTTCCAAGCCCTAGCTCTTATCAATACGAATATGAATACGGAATGACCACGATTCTAATCCTGGAACATGCATGCATGAACAGGGATACGCGCGCAAAAATGCGCGTTCTTAAATGTTCGCAATTTTGGCTTTGTAGAAAGTAAAGAGTATCGCGCGGGAATTCTGAAGTGTAAACCACGGGGATATCGCGGTCTAAAGGTGTTGCACATACCCTGTTTACAGGAATTCCATTTCTGGCCAAGTTCTTTGGAGAAACAATTGTCATTTTGTGCCTCATAAACTCTGGACAAACTTTGAAGAAGTCTGGGTAGATCCCTGTGAACAAATTACATTACAGTGTGTATTAGAACATTCGAGAGGTACCGGGTTCGATTCACAGAAGAAGTGAAATTATTCGGAAAATTATCTCTTCTAGAATATTATTACGGATTAAATTAATAAAGCAAAGTTATCACAATATAATCTGGGATGTCGAAATTTGATTAGATTACCTCTAATCATAGTTTGGAATCTAGATGCATGGCACTCAGGTATGGCATACCAGAACTTAGGTTGCCCGTAGTGCAAATAATTGATAGAATAGAGATCCATATCTTCGACATGCCACGGGAAAGTGGTCCGCCACATTCCAAAGTAAAGGTAAGGAGAGTTGACACCTGGGATCTTAACGTTCAGTTTATTGCACACCTCCTCCAGCACATCCCCCAACTTCGGCACATTCCACTCCTGTCACGTAGGTTGGGTTTAAAATACTCTAATAGTGCTGGGGAGATAATTATAGTTTGTTGTGGTATGTGACAACAATTGATAGATCAGCCAGTCAAACGTATGGAAACATTTGTAAATTTAGTGCAATTAATCATAAATACAAAACATTATAAAATCCCTCTGATTACCTTGACGTTTGTGTCGTACAAAGAAGCTGGTACATCTGCACCGTAGAGAGGTGGGTTAAAGGTCAATCCTCTCCAGTACCTGGATCATTTCACCGTTATTTGAGATATTATAGTACGTGTTGTTATGACAGTCTAACTGTTTCTAAATTTAATGACTGGACTAAAAATAGATCTGGATATTGGTTGGGAGGTGATCCATATTTTCCTGACACTTGAAAGCGGTTAATTAATCGGCTTCTAGACTACAGGCCCCATTAATTGCCCCAGATTACAGGCCTACACATTGACCAATCAAAACCTAAATCACTGTCACGCGTCAAAACAAATATGGTGAGTGAGTGAGTGAGTGAGTGAGTGAGTGAGTGAGTGAGTGAGTGAGTGAGTGAGTGAGTGAGTGAGTGAGTGAGTGAGTGAGTGAGTGAGTGAGTGAGTGAGTGAGTGAGTAAGTGAGTGAGTGAGTGAGTAAGTAAGCAGTGTTACCTCTGTTCAAGAAACTCGAGGGAACCTTCTGGTGGTTTGTAACGATCACTCAGTGCTTCTTTTGCGAAGTCTTGTACAGTAAGCGCCGGCTGCTCTATGTTCATTTGTTGATAGATCCCAGCTGAATTGAATGTTTCAATAATAATAAACTATAAACTCAATTAAAGAAAAAAATTGAATTTCCTACGTTGTCTGCGATGAAATTACTAAGAACTTGATAAGTAAAGTAGAAACCTAGTAGAAAACTAATAATAACATTCTGTTTTAAAAAACATCAATAAACTGAACAGAAGATTCGTACAATGAGTAGAGGTTATCTCTTGAAGAATCGGGTTTTCAATCAACAACTTTTTCTGGCTCAGCTTCCTCTTTATATCCCGACAAGGTTTCCAGCCTTTTGGTGGAATAATCTGGAAATATTAACTGATGATAGTGATGGAGAAACTCAACTTTAAATCCTAAATCAGATCTGTATTTGTTTTATTAGTTATTACAACCTTTCTAATAACAAATTTGGATATACGGCATCAAACAATATCTTATATCATATTTTATCTCAATAATACAATTGTATGTAAATCACGATTTAAAAGAAGAGCAATTAACTATACAGTTACCTTGGCAACGCCCCATTTAGCGGCCCCGCATTCCTCCATATACTCAACATACTTGGAGAAGTTCTTGAATTCCTTCTTGGTCGGCCTGAACACCATGATATCACTCTTACACAGGAATTCTTCCACATCCTCATTAGAAATCATCCAAACCCTGTCTACAGTCCTTACATTCTAAAGAGAGATAAATTATTGGTAATAATAATTAATTTTAGTCGATAAAACGTAATACATTAATAGTTCATGCCTTCCCGTGCCTTGAAATACAAAATTGGGAACTGTGGTTTATCATGATCAAATTTGATTTCATGTTTGTTGTTCAAGTACTGCTATTTATGAATTGACAAATATCTCTAAATGCGGCACTATCCGTCGCGGAGTCGAGTCCGCGGCGGAGCCGCCGGACTTCGAGCGGACTCCGAGCGGACTCCGGCGGAGCCGCCGGACTCCGAGCGGACTCCGGCGGTGCTCCGCCAAAATGTATTTACAGTGGACTCGAGTACATTTTGGCGGACTCCGAGCGGAGCCGAGCGGACTCCGAGCGGACTTTAAAGTCCGCCGCGGACTCCGAGCGGCTCCGCGGCGGCTCGGCGGAGTGTCCGCCGCGGACTAAGCCACTAGGCGGACTCCGGTCCGCCGCGGACTCCGGCGGAGTGCTTGGCGGACTCCGCCGGACCTCTCCGCCAGACTTGAATCCGGCGGAGTCCGGCGGAGCTTGGCGGAGTCCGCCAGCTCGGCGGACTCCGCTCGGAGTCCGCCGGACTCCAACAGAGTCCACTGACTTCCGACCTCCGTCTTCCGACCCTCGGCAAAATTTGTCACGTGACATACAACATAGCATTTTGCAATATTGTGGTCAGATGAAAAGGTCGCTAGTGATAAACCTTAACCATTACCCTCACAATGTCAATAGTGTACAACTCTAGTCCTAACTTTGACCCTATAATGTATAAACGTTGACCCTAACCCTCCACAAAACCGTCCGCAGCGAAATATCAATGTCATTGACTGGTCACGTGACCAAAACAATTTTTGTCATATTATCTCATATGGGGAAGCGTTTTTAGTTTTACCCTACACGTTGCATGTGGCGTCATTCGGCCGGATCCCAGCAAGCAAAAATACGTCGACCATCACAGGACGTTACTGGGCCGCGCTCAGCCTGTCATTCCGCCAAATCTTTATGTTAATGAACATAATAGCCTGGGGTCCTCAGGTAACACAGGACGACGCCAGCCAGCACTCTACGCTCTTCGAGCTCCGATCGTCCTGTGACGAAGTAAGGCCAAGGACGAAGCCTGAGGTCCTCAGGTAACATCGACCACCGATTGAAAATTCAAAGATTTTTTGACATAAAGGTCAAATGTAAAACTAAAATCTTGATGCTGATTGATTGACGACGTCAATTTTTGAGCACAGCGCGAGCGCATATTGCGGAAAAGGACCGCGTAGCTAGTCAAGATGTTGATAAATATTTGGCTTGTGGCGCGATGTGTTGCTTTAACTATAGCCCTCTCGCTTGCAGTCTAGTAGCGCGCGACCGCCGGAAATGACTTGTGGAACAAGCGCGCCCGCAGCGGCGCGAAAGCACCTGGTTAGATAAATGAACGCGAATATATGGAACAGATATTTTACGAGTATCACCCGTTAAGCCTTGCATTGTAGGATGAAATCCTACTAGCTGACGCCACTCGCAGCTGTGATGTTCGCTGTACGTCAGCGATCGAAATTTATACGCGTATCACCCGTTAAGATGTGTCACCCGACGCGCCACGCAATTTTTCTCGTTGCTCGTCGCACGTCGACGCCCTCATTAAATTTTTGGAGAAAATCGCCCGCCAAAATTTGTTGGACCAGGACGATGTCCTAGCCTGGCAGCTCATTGCGCGGCGCGTCGCAACGAGCTTCGTTGTTCGTCGACGTGCGACGAGCAACGAAAAAAATTGTGTGGCGCGTCGAGTGGCACATCTTAACGGGAGATACGCGTATAAATTTCGATCGCTGACGTACAGCGAGCAGCACAGCTGCGAATGGCGTCAGCTAGTAGGATTTCATCTTACAAGGCACATCGCGTTTACCTAGCTAACCAGGTCATTTCCGCCTCCGGCGGTCGCGCGCTACTGCAAGCGAGAGGGCTATAGTTAGAGCAACACATCGCGCCACAAGCCAAATATTTATCAACATCTTGACTAGCTACGCGGTCCTTTTCCGCAATATGCGCTCGCGCTGTGCTCAAAAATTGACGTCGTCAATCAATCAACATCAAGATTTTAGTTTTACATTTGACCTTTATGTCAAAAAATCTTTGAATTTTCAATCGGTGGTCGATGTTACCTGAGGACCTCAGGCTTCGTCCTTACTTCGTCACAGGACGATCGGAGCTCGAAGAGCGTAGAGAGTGCTGGCTGGCGTCGTCCTGTGATGGTCGACGTATTTTTGCTTGCTAAAAACGCTTCCCCATATGAGATAATATGACAAAAATTGTTTTGGTCACGTGACCAGTCAATGACATTGATATTTCCAATTTCGCTGCGGACGGTTTGGTGGAGGGTTAGGGTCAACGTTTATACATTATAGGGTCAAAGTTATAGGACTAGAGTTGTACACTATTGACATTGTGAGGGTAATGGTTAAGGTTTATCACTAGCGACCTTTTCATCTGACCACAATATTGCAAAATGCTATGTTGTATGTCACGTGACAAATTTAGCCGAGGGTCGGAAAACGGAGGTCAGAAGTCAGTGGACTCTGTTGGAGTCCGGCGGACTCCGAGCGGAGTCCGCCGAGCTGGCGGACTCCGCCAAGCTCCGCCGGACTCCGCCGGATTCAAGTCTGGCGGAGAGGTCCGGCGGAGTCCGCCAAGCACTCCGCCGGAGTCCGCGGCGGACCGGAGTCCGCCTAGTGGCTTAGTCCGCGGCGGACACTCCACCGAGCCGCCGCGGAGCCGCTCGGAGTCCGCGGCGGACTTTAAAGTCCGCTCGGAGTCCGCTCGGCTCCGCTCGGAGTCCGCCAAAATGTACTCGAGTCCACTGTAAATACATTTTGGCGGAGCACCGCCGGAGTCCGCTCGGAGTCCGGCGGCTCCGCCGGAGTCCGCTCGGAGTCCGCCCGGAGTCCGGCGGCTCCGCCGCGGACTCGACTCCGCGACGGATAGTGCCCTAAATGCTGTAAAAAGTAAAAGTCGTGCTCAATTTTAGATTTAAATAAATAAATAACGTCTACACTCTAGAATCAATACAATATTTCATCATCAAAATAATAACGTTAAACATCGTTAAATATATCAAGAGTTTATGCCTTCCCTTGCCTTGAAATATGGCTGTTTCTTGATCAAATTTGATTTTATGTTCATTGTTCAAGTACTATTATTTATGAATTGACTTATCTCTCCTAATGGTCAAGTGATGTAAACAGTAAAAATCATGATCAATTTTAGATAAAGAAAATTCTTGCAGAACTTAAAATCAAGTCAAAGCTATTTTAAAGAAATCAATCAATTAAATTAAGTCCTGGCAGTTTAAATTAAAATAATATTAATAAGGTCTTTAAAACATTTTATATTTCCCTATATTTACAATTCAAAACTCATAACATAATTTAAACCCAAAAAAACAATACATTACCACAAACTGAAAGAAAATTCTGTTACTAAAAAATCTGAGAAATAAACGAAAAAAGAGTGGCCAAACAAATCTTGACATTGTGTTAATTGTGGCTCAATCACGTGATCAAATTGTAAGCACTTGTCGTTTAGCCGGCATATCCGCAATTGATGCAGCCAACGGCTTATTTAAAGTTTCTGTGTCAAGCGTTCTAGCAATGAGAGCAGCTGCACCCATACCAACTGCTGCCAGACATATGAACAATCTTGGTGCTGACAGGATGAAGAATTCAGCCAGGAAAGGGGATGTGAAGCTGCCAATGTTGTCCGTTACCCAGATCATCCCAGTAGCAACACCTCGTAGAGTGGTCGGATACAGTTCAGAAGTGTAGAGCATTATGACCCCACGTCCAGCAGCAATGGTGGCAAGTGCTGTGCCGATTGCTAATGAGAATGCAGACAAACCAAAGCTTAGAAAAGATGATGCAAAAAGAGATACGGAGGCCAAGAAAAAGGCCATGAAAATTGCTTCTCGTCGGCCATAGCATTGGGCAACAAGGAGGAGTCCCGGATTAATGAGTAGGTCGGGTAAAAATGCAGTCACCAGCTTAGATTGTGCTCTAGAATTAACAGAATAACAGTTTTCTGGATGGTTTAAAGTTTCACCTTCATCTTTAGTTTTCGTTCCAAGGAGATAAGGCATTGTTATGTAAAACGTAGAAGCAAAAACACCCTTCATAACAATCATGAACATCAGCTTATAGGAATGTCGAGCCAATCCATGTCTAAATAAATCTCTGTACGAACCACGAGTCTCTTTAATGTCCCCCTCCTTCACCAAGAAGAACTGATCCTCTACAAGCTTGCCATTCCGTTTCAGAAACTTCTTTACAATTTCCTCTGCCTCCTTCTGTTTACCTTTGACTAAGAGGTGTCGAGGGGATGAATCAATGAATAAAAAAGCAAAGAAAGCTAGGTAGCATGGAAATGTTACCAAAAGTTGAATATTTCTCCAGCCATAAGATTCATAATATCGTCCAATAAACGCACCAAAAACAGCACCAGCACAGCCAGAATAGCCGGACACTACTTTGACAAGGAACCTCTTCGCTGCTGGACAGGACTCTAGGGCCAGGGCCCCTGCTGAGGGCATTATGATACCAAAAGCAACTTTATTGAGGGCATGAAAGAAAACATACCATAATACTGAGTAACAGTTTAATGCTATTGTTGTCATGGTTATTTGAAGGAGTAGTCCCATCAAGATGGATCGTCGTCTGCCGATCCTGTCCCCAAACAATCCCCCTACAGCTCCCCCGACACAGAATGCCATTCTGGTCGACAAAAGGTACCCAGAGGCTTGCCAACTTGTCAGATTCCATTCACACTTGACGATTGGAAGAATTATTCCATCTGAAACTAGACTAAGCAGTTCAAGAAAGAAGATTGCAGAACTTGCACCCACATAAATAACTTGAGATAGTCCACATCCAGATTTTTCAATAGCTTCATCAACTGTCAGGACACCCATAATGGCAACCTTACACTTAAATCTACCTGGAATTAAATGATCGCATATTAATGACTGGCACATCGAGGTTAAAATTAAATACAGTACAATTGTTAATTTAATGGTACATTCTTTTAGGTAGGATTCAAGTCCGTGATAAGTGATGTTATTCATTTTACCCGATGTTTTACGAAATTAAAGACCGTCTATATTTCGAGAGCAGAAAATCAGAAATTAACCCAATAAATAAATAAATAACGTCGATACAGTAATCAATACAATATTTTATAATCCAAATACGTAACGTTTTAAACATTTTAACTGAAAATTAGGAAATAAAAGCAATGACATTTTCTCCACAAGTATAATTCTTCAGCTACAATTTCACCACGCATTTAAGCTAAGAAACATCAATTGCTTTTCTTTGTTCATTAAAATTTTATTTAAAGAATCAATTTCCATCTGTCATACCCTACTGATATAATATTACCGTTCTGCATAAGAATTATCAGAAAAGGTAGAACAATCTACTCTCAAAAAGTTTATGCTGATAATTTTTAGTGTTTTATAACCTTCAAAAGTCAAAACTTAATATTATAAATCAATCAAATCAAAGAAAAATCAGTTAATTAAATAAATCTAAAGCTCATCGCTGTCGTGAAACTTCTCTTTCATCAGTTTCTCCTCGTGATCCTTTTTGAGAGCCTGTGCTCGATCCCGTTCCTCTTCTTGATGTTTAATGAGCCTGAAATATTTTGTGTAACAATTAAGGGTAGCAACTTTACTCTGAGCACCTTCAGTAATATTGATTAGTCAAGAATAATAATATGTAATAGATTAGTACATAATATAATAGTGTAGATTTCTACATTTCCTACATTTCCTACATTACACTAACTCCATCTACCCGGATCAAGTTTAAATATTTACCTGGTCCGTTTGAGAAGATGATAAGTTCCATATTTGACATGTTTCCTCGAATAGCCAGGTATATTGAAGGCTCTGGCGATCGTTTTTGATTTGGCAGCGTTGAGAAATGGGAAACTTTTGATGGAAGTCCATCCAGATTTGGTATTATATCTTGGCTCAAGGCTTGATTCCACACCAAAATCAACATCTATCAAGTAGTCGCATTCCCTGAGCAGAAAGTAGTACTATTAGAATCGTTTGTTATTTGCTTTACAATAAGAGCTCATCATTTGTTATCAGATTGCAAAAGTACAATCAATATCAATCAACAATAGTGATTCAAATTTAGAACGGCCCACTGCCCAGTGGGCCCGATCTAACTCAAGATTACATTATTTTGCATTCAACTTACTTAATGCTGGTAAACACTGACGGCTCTTCTTTATTCCTATCATTTTGATTCGGGTTTATTCCGTAAGTACCATTTACACCAGAATAGTATCTTTGAGGAAGTTGCCCTTTGAACTCTGATTTCACAAATCTTATGGTGGCTCCATGAGGGACGAAAAAGCTACTGGGAAACCGATGCCACTCTTTCCCGACACAAATTGTGGCTGTTAATTCAGGTATGCTGTAAACATCTCTGTAGAGATGCATTGGAGCACGGTAATACGTTTCAAGGGCTGATATCCTACAGCAAGACAAGGCAATGTAGATAATAAAGAAGCCCGATATGTTGAGGATACTGGCTTCCTTCATGTGCTTGTAGAAATAGCCAAAACAAGCGGATGTAGATTTCCAGATAATGTACAGGACAAGCGAAGCAGCGAAACTAATCAGAGGGTAGACTGGGAAGAGAAATCGTTCTTCTTTATGAGGGGCAGAAAACATGATTCCAAACCAAATATACATGGGCGTCAGCAAATAGCAAGCAGTCCACTTCAAATCCTGACTGAAATGTTTGTATAATAGAAAGCAAGGGAGAGCAAGAAGTGCAAGGACAAAAGCAACATTGAAGTTGAGAAAACCGTTGTAGAAATAGAATGAGAATGGTTCAGTCCCATAGAGCGTGGAGCCATGGATGTTGAACACGTTATAGAGAATTATTTTCAATGGTGCAATCACCATTTTTCTGTACATCATAAGATCCACTAAGATCAAAGGACTCAGGGTGTATAACAAGGCGACCACGAAGTACTCTGCAAACTTTTTGAACTGTCCATTTTTGACGACGATGTCCCAAAATATGGGTATACCAAGTACAGCAACGAATGGCCATCCTATTATTGATGCAGCAGCAACCCAAAGTACCGCAGCCTGATTACAATCATCTAGCCATGCTGCATATGCCAGTGTTATAGCGCACATGGCAAAACTGCTTGGAAGATAGGCGGTACTGGAAATGAACATTCCTGGAGCAAAAAGGGTTGTCACTAGCCAACAATTTGCGATGAAGGATCCGAATTTTTTGTAGATGGCAGAGTAGAACTGATCCTCTGATACTGCACAGAACATCCCCAACATCATTCTGATGAAATAGAATACAAACACTTTGTGGGTTAGAAAAATGGAGGCTATCTTTGCTAATGCAGCATGGACACCAACATAAAAGTAAGACCTCAGTGCAAACTTTGGATTGTATTCCCAAGTCTGGAAACCCGATCTGAATGCCAAGAAATGTGTCGGTTCCCAAAAATTGTACGTTTCATCACAATCTGTTATATGACTGGTTAAAGCTGCATATATTCTTGCGGCAGTCAGAATAGTGAAAATCCATTCGGTGTATGGAACCACAGCATCCACAGCTTTCTTTTCTGCTACTTTGAGGGACTGTTTTTGCTGCATCGAGTGAAGAAGTTTTCTGTCATTTTCATACTTCATCTTACTGGATCCATAGGACTTATTCCATCTTTTTTCCAATTCATCAGCCATCTTTAAAACACCTAAAATATCAAAATGTAAGCGACATGCAGATGATTACCTTATTCGATAGCCTACAGCTAAAGATATTCAAATTTAAACCTTGTAAGCTGCAAAGAATAACTATACATTTTCACAGCTTACATGATTGAAGACTTAAAATTAATTATTTAATGAGGCTTCTAATCAATGTATCAAACTATAGTCAGTAGAGTACAGTCGTAAGTGCACCTTACATTATCCAGATCGCAAAGTGAGAGTTCAATTGTTTTTAAAATGTTGTTTTAGCAATCAAAACATGTTTTTTAGATGTGATAGTAATAGTTAAAGCCTGCAAACTTGCAATAGATTACTATAGTTGCCTCGAAAGCACTGAAAACGAACTACTCTGTGCTGCATTTCACGAACAGATCATGCTGGGCCTTGCTTGGTATACCAACATCTCAAAGCTTCTCACCAAATACAACTTCCCCCACTCATCTTCCTCAAAATCTAAGCTCTCCACCCAAATCAGTCATAATATGAGGGAAGAATTCGTGAACACCTGGAAATCTGCCAAGGTTTCCTCGCCAAAACTAGAATTCTATAATTTAATTAAACATGATTTCGAACCAGAGGCATCTATCTACAAATTATCAAAATACCTGATGTTCGAAAAAGCCTGACAAAGTTTCTTATCAGCTGCCACAACCTCTACATCGAAAGGGGCAGATCATACGAAACCCCCCATTGTACCAAGAGAAGAACGTTGGTGCACTTACTGCTTTTTCAGCAAAGGGCTCAAGCCTATTGAGGACGAAAGTCACGTATTAATTGACTGTTTGCTTTACCCCTCAGTTAGGGAAAAATTCAACTTCCATCCCAAAAACATCACTGACCTAGCCGGTCTGCTCTCCAACAAAACTCTAGATCCTACCAAATTTACTACCACAGCAAGAATCAAGAGCAATCCATTCAATTCTCTCTGTGAACGAACAATACACAGCCTATTATAAGAGCCCAGATTTCCACTCAAATACTGGCAAGTGTATAATGCTTTAGTCCCCTAAAATAAAATTGAACCATACAAACTCGATTTATTTATTTAAAAAACTAGTATTATATAACATTTCTAAATTATCCCTACACATTTGTAAATAATTAGGATTGTGTAACTTAAATTATTTCAGAATTACGACTATTGTGTATTCAATAAAGTAATTATCACTTTTGTATCCTTGTATCCTTGTATCCTTGTATCCTTGTATCCTTGTATCCTTGTATCCTTGTATCCTTGTATCCTTGTATCCTAGTTAATATTTAATAGTTTATTTAATAATAGTACTATGTTTACAGTATGCACTTAAGGGGTATCCTAGGATCAATTAAGTTTCCTATCATTCGGCTGAGTTGACCGAGGAGATCGCATAGATCCAATGGATCCTTAGCTACTCCATAGACTAGGTGACACTGGGATTCATGCCCTGAACCTTCTGTGCAGAAGGCGGATGCTCTAACCACTAGGCCACCTAGCCTGATTGTTTAGTAGTGAAAAACATTTTCAAGGAGGACGGCATATTTTTTTACATCCTCATCTCACTTTTATAAAATTTTCTTCATAGCTGCTTTTAGTCTCATCGAAAAATGTTGTTCCTAGTAGATATCGCTGGTCACAGGTTATTGAAAATCTATCTTCTCCTATGGTTTTTAAGCAATTACCCTGTTCAAACTTTGTTCTTATGATCATTTAGAAGAGATCTTTCATACAATATTCTAAAATAGGCCTTTGAATATCTTATGTTGTTGTATTCGATTTTGATCCTCCTAAGAGCTATGACTGTGGTTCCCAAAAGGTGAAATCTCACTTTTTTTTCTGATAATCTTGTCCTGATCTGGTTTTTCTTCGCTGATGGCCTTGGCAGATACACCTTTTCTGCACCTACTGCACTGAAAGTCACTAGGTGTTCAGTCAGCAAGAAATGACATAAGTAAGGTTGCGACAGCCCCAAGAGTGACATGTAGTTTAGGTTAGAATTTGGACATCAGGGACTATCCAATGCAATGTGCTAGGTGGTTAGAGCTTCCAGAAAATCTCTCAAATCGATTTTGGGCGCTTTTAACCATTTGTTGTAATGTTTTTAGATACTAAATATCTAAATTTTTAAAATTTTTTATCGGAACGAATTAATTAATATTTAATAATTTATTCGGTAGTTTTATCTGATATTGATATTGATATTGAATATATTGATATTGTTATTATTGAACGAAGCTAACTCTAGATATAGTTAATATTACTTCTTTTAACAAAGGGACTTGGAGTATAAACGACCAAGTTTGCATAAATTTCTATCCAACCAAGAATTCAGGAGGCAAAGGTGGGTGCGTAAACTTTATGGTCTGCACTCTCCGATCCTGTATCACCCTGGATTCTTCTCGACGTATCTTTGTAAAAGGTATATACCTTCTAGTCAATCTCTTGCTACTCCAAGTCCCCTAAGATATCTGATCTAAAGTTCGTGCTAGTTATATATATGAAATATGTTTTTGTCTGCTTTAATTGATACTAAATAAAATTGTTGTTTTCTTGAAAATGTTGTTTTCTTGTCTAGGGAGATAGCTGAAAATCCGTCGGATCTATGCGAAGTTGCACATCTGTGTATTATGTCATCAGAATGATCAGAAAACCGTGATTGAGTGTTAAATGAAGAAAGGCCTACCAAAAGATCAGCATCTTTCTGGGGTACCCCTTAAATACATCTACATCGCTGTATACTTATACTGCAAACATAGTACTAGTAGAGCTGTATTCTTTTAGAAAAAGTATTCAAACAATATACACATAATATCACTATGACCCTATATAGATTAAACATTAAAAATGCAATATATTCCCCAACTAAAATATTTATTATAATTATTATAAAACAGGATCTTACCGACAAAAATGATTCTTAAAAATACCTTAATGCGGTAAACTGTACCCTTGAAAAAGATTTTCCCAACATCTGTTGCATGCAGCTATATCTCTAATTTCGTTCAATTCATGCAAGTTGTCCATTTGTAAATTTCTACTACTTAAATCACTTCTTAAAACCGATAACAAGTTCATTCTAGGTCTCCCCAATCTACCAATGAATAAATTATCTGATTCAATAGCAAAAGAGAGAGCCGTTTGGGCTGGGGTGTTCTCCATACTCCTGAGAATGTGTCCAAACATCTTCCACCGCTGGTGTTCAATACGCTTGGATAACTTTTCAACTTTGCACCTTTCATACAATGCTTTGTTGCTTATCATACCTTTAGGCCATTTGATGTTTAAAATGGACCTGAGGTGTCTACGATGGAGTGTGTCCATTTTCTCCATGGTTGCTTTCTTAGGACTCCAACTATTTGAGTTGTAAATCAATACAGATACAACTTGAGCATCATATAACCTCAGCTTTCTTTCAAGGGAAATTTTCTTACCAGACAACCATACTTTTCCAAAGTTCTTAAAAGCAATCTCAGCTAGGATTCTCCTTCTTTGAATGTCCTTCTCAGTACAGAGTAAGGAACCTAGTGACTTGTTACTTCGCCATGGTTCGTTATTAGCTAATGGCTGACCGAAATATTGGCAGAAAAATTTCAAAGTTCAAATTTCCAAGTTCAAATCGAGACTCTCTATACTACATCTACAAAGTTCTTTCTCGCCCCTCTATCTCTTTAAGTGATGTTTTCGTGTTGTATGTACACTTATATTGCATTTTTACTCCCTAGACTGGATGACACTGGGATTCGAACCCTGAATCTTCAGCACAGAAGGCGGGAGCTATTACCACTAGGCCATGTGTCAAATCGAATTATTGTTCAAACAGAAATTTATGTTAAAACTTAAAAGACACGTGCGTTTTCTAAACATGCAGCGCTCGATTACAATTATATAAAATATATATCAACTTACTCGACTTAGGGCGGCTTCAACGTCCGAACAGAAATAGTTTTTTCCAAATCTGTCTATTCAGCATGACTTTTTTAATCTCCTTGCAGTCGTCAAGCACCCTGTCCCTCCGAAGAATGTCAATATATGTGAGGTGTGGTCTTCCCCTTCGACGAAGAAGAGAATTTGATGACTCAGAAGTTCTTCATGTCAGGCTAGATGACCTGCAAGTATCATCTAAAATATATATATTTGAATGAAGCTCCGGTGACTCGGTCATCACTACAAGTAAAACAAAATTTTTAAGTAAAACAAAATTTAAATTTTATTGCCATTACAATGAATAATGATATCATAATAAATATAAGTAGACATCCGATAATAAACTTGTTACATCCAGTACAACCCAAGATGTCAGCCGACGCGACTTACAAAAATAAAGAAAGCTAGCATGTTATGTTCATTGTTCATAGTTTTTCTAACGAGCATGCTTAGCACTTAGGCTGTACGGAAATAGCTTTAATTCTACGTCATATCAAAAACTTTACGTCATTTTTGAGATACAAAAATAAATTTTAAAATAAATAACTCTTTTGCTGTTTAGGCGCGGCACCGCGCTTGACACACATGCTATACAGTGTGTAGCAACACAGCGCTGAAAACAGAAGCTGAATGAGCTATAACATATAAGCGGCGCGTGCGCCGCGCCTAAACCTAAAACCATAAACTTTAAATATTGTCCGGATATTAAACGAGTTTTGCAAAATAATATAGCATGCTGAATTCGTAGGATATTACAATTATACCAGTGCCAGTTCCAAATGTGAGTCAGCGCTTAAACCAAAAGCAGTTGGCAAAAGGAGCCAGTTGCCTGCAAGAGCTTTACTAGCACCCGATTTACCACTTTTGGAGCACAAACTCAAACCTAAAACCGGCCAAGCACAAAAATATGTTATCGCCACGATTGGGTGGATTGATTCCCAGAATATTTATCAGCACGCGGCACTAATAATATATGAAGTTCATTATCGAATTTTAGATATGCCCTGGATCGTTCAACACATATATATTTATAAAAGGTTATTAAAGAATAATTGATGTTTGGTTCGTATATAAATCGATATTA